TAGACTGAATAAGACTTTATTATCTTTGTGGACATTAGCATTCTTTCTCTGGCATTAAGTAAATGTAACTGCAACAAGAAAACAGCTGAAGAAATGAAAAGTGTTTGCGGATGGTCAACAAGGGCAAAGGTAACTGTTTCATTATTTTCCCCAGAGGTGAATGGAGGATTCAAATACCTCTTGCCTGTGATAGATTTGGACTTTAAATTTTCTTCCAATAAAGTACTAATTTTTAAAAGGCTACTTATTTACCCATTTTCAGGAAGCCTCTAATAATTCTTGAATTGTTTGGCACATTTTTAGAGAAAGGCAGAGTATAATTAGCATTTAAATAAACAGTTTTATAGTCTTTGCTTTGGCATATTTTATTGTCTAGTATCTCTCCTAAAAGCAAATTAATTTTGGATTTCCCTTTTTGGGCACTTTTGGGTTTTTTTCCTGGTGCTTATTTAATATGCTCATACAAGTTTTCAGTGTGATGAGTCTGTTCTACTGTCTGTAGATTTAAACACTCTGTAGCTTAATCTTTCTGACTTGCAGGACACATGTGGCAGGAAAACTCTGTGCATGCTTGTATCACATTTCTTCTTCAACAGGCAGACTTCCATCTGCAGGTAGTTGCTCTCTCTGGTAGTGTTCAAAAAAGAGAGAAAAAATCAAGAATGTTGTGATACACAGGTTCATCTGCAAGCTGAGATGGAGCTCTGCTTGCTTGTACTAAGCAGCAGACTGTACAGCTGGTCAGACCAGAGACTGCCTTGAGACCGTGATTGCAGTCAAAACTTTGCACTAAAACAGAAGTATGAAAGAAGGCATCATAATTATACTCCACCTGCAGGGAAATAAGATGCTAATATTGTTAAGATAGCAAATGCTACTTCAGGAGCAGGGTTTTTTGTGTATAATACTGTATAATACCCATCTGTTTAATTAAGCTTTGGGTTTGTTGTGTTAAACAGTTGTTTATTTCCAAGCACAATAGTTCTTGATCCCTTGATCCAGCTGAAATGGAGTGTTAAAACATGATTTCTTTTCCTGGTAGATGGCTGTGGAATTTCTACATGAACTGGATGTTCCATTTTTCAAAGTAGGATCAGGAGATACAAATAATTTTCCATATTTGGAAAAGACTGCAAAGAAAGGTAAGCATTTTCTTTGATCCATCTTGGTGAACATCACAATACTGCTTTTTTCTCCAGTTGATTTTTGGGGAAACAATCTGAAGTTTCTTTATATTTCAGACTTTGAAAAAAAAAGTTTTATCCAGAGTTCTTTTCTAGTTTTACTGAAATAATTTACTTTAAAGAATTTAATTTAATCTTGGGTAGCTTTCTTGTTGACATAGGATGTGCATATTTTCCAATGGCTAGGTCGCCCAATGGTGATTTCCAGTGGGATGCAGTCGATGAGCACAATGCATCAGGTTTATCAGATTGTGAAGCCCATAAATCCAAACTTCTGCTTCCTGCAGTGCACCAGCGCATACCCACTTCAGCCAGAGGACGTCAATCTCCGTGTTATATCGGTCAGTGAGTAACCCAGAGCGTGCTGTGGGTAGGGTGGCAGAGAAGGGTTCTGTGCTTTTGCTGAGATACACTTCCAGGTCTTAAGGCGTACTGGAATTTGCTTCTGAGAAGTTACAGGATGTGTCACGTTCCTCTGATTCACACTGAAGTTAAAAGATCCACCGGGTCCTTTTGTAGCAGAACTCATCTTTGAGGAATATGATAAAGGATATTGCGGGAGTATTCACAGTTCAACAGAGGAAAACATGGCATGGTTATCAGGTTAACCCTGTGGTTTTTAGTGCTAAGAAAAATCATGTAGACTGTTATCATAAAGAAGGTGCATGAAATGAGAATGTAATTCTAAATAGGAAGCTAGACCAGAAACTTTGTTTAAAAAGTTTCATGTGGCTATCAGAGCCATGAAGAAAACTTATTTGATAGTTTCCTTCATTTGAAATGTTACTTGTATACGCCAAATAGTGATGTAAGAAAGTTTTCCCAAACTGGCCAGTGTTCAAGCACTACCTTAGATCTATAATCTACTATACACATAGTGTATTCTTTTTAATAGAATGACACATGGCTGCATTTAAGTGCTTTTAGGACTTGGTGACTGTTCTCTGTGCTTGGATTAAAAGGTTGCTTCAGATTTTAAATACAATGTTGAAGAAATCTGTTTTGGATACAGATTAAGTTTAATCAATCCACTGGCTTCTTGGATAAAAATAGGATACTATTACTGTTACTTAGGTTAATACAGGCCTTGAAGACCTTGAATAGTAGAAGTGTATTAAAACGAGAAATGTAAATTGTAAAAGAGAACATACTTCCTTGTCAGTATTGATAATATTAGTCAGATTTGGAATGTGGTGATTGGTAATGCAGTGTAACTTGTTGAATTTAAAAGGTTGCGTTCTCTGCATATCCAAATACTTGTTTATGGCACAGTATTTGTCCACTGCAGTTATCACTGTTAAATTTGCTTTGTTTTTGAAACTGCTGCCTTGGTAATTCAGATCAACTCTGTCGTGATTCAAGGCATATCAGTCAGCTTTTCCTGATATCCCCATTGGCTATTCGGGGCATGAAACTGGCATAGCCATTTCAGTGGCAGCTGTTGCTATGGGTGCTAAAGTACTGGAACGGCACGTGACTCTCGACAAAACATGGAAAGGAAGCGACCACCAAGCATCTCTGGAGCCAAATGAGCTGGCAGACTTAGTGAAAGCCATCCGTACTGTGGAAAAAGCAATGGGTTCTCCAGTCAAACAGCTCTTGCCCTGTGAAATGGCTTGCAATGAAAAGGTAACTTTTGATTTTAGTTTGTGTAAACCTGCAACTAATTTAGACCTATAGCTAATAACTGTATTCAGAAAAATAGGTTGTGAATTGTTTATTGCAGTAGCATTTCTGCCTCTGCACTTAAAAAATTTCACACTGCATAATGTTGGCAGTTTTGATTATAATAGAGTTCTGTGTTTATCATCCAGTGGTTAACTAAGTTGAGTAACAGCCTGGAATCATTTAGGTTGCAAAAGACCCATGAGGTCATTTAGTCCAACCTAACACTGCCAAGCTCAACCACTGATGTATGTTCCTAAGTGCCATGTCCACACATTTTAAATAACTCCAGGAATCATGTCTCAACTGCTTCCATGTTGTAGACTGTTTGAGTGCTTGATCACCCTTTTAGAGAAGAAATTTTTCCTAATACCTAGTCTAACCCTCCCCTGGCACAGCTTGAGGCCATTTCCTCTTGTTCTGTCATTTGCTGCCTGGGTGAAGAGACCACTCAGCTGACTACAGCGTCCTTTCATAGAGTTGTAGACAGTGATAAGGCCCCCTCTGAGCTTCCTTTGCTCCAGGCTAAGCACCCCCCAGCTCCCTCAGCCACTTTTCAAAGGACTTGTGCTCCAGACCTTTCACCAGCTTTGTGGCCCTTCTCTGGATTCACTCCAGCATTTCAATGTCCTTCTTGTAGTAAGGGGCCCAGAACTGGACACAGGATTTGAGGTGTGGCCTCACCAGTGCCAGGTACTTGGCAATCGTAATAGGAATAATACCTCTATGATTTTTTATTAGCTGCTTTTACACTAAGCTAAAATACCAGTCATTCTAATCAGATTCCCTCCATTGTGATTTTGAAAAATTCCACTGAGCCACTGTCCAGTTTCAGAAAACATCCGCATGTTCCTAGCAGCCTAGTTAGAGTGAGAGTAACCATGCTAAAATAATCTTCGTTTGGAATAAGTAATGGAGAAGGCAGTTCTACACAACCTGTTCCAAAATAACTGCAGAACATTTTTTATCTTTTTATATCATACTAAGCTAGCAATGTATTTAACTTCAACATTGTTTTTTTGCCCCTCCCTGTAGCTGGGAAAGTCGGTAGTGGCAAAAGTGGCAATTCCTGAAGGTGCAGTGTTGACACTTGACATGCTGACGGTGAAGGTGGGAGAGCCAAAGGGATTTCCTCCAGAATGCATCTTTGACCTGGTGGGCCAGAAGGTTAAAAGAACTATTGAAGAAGATGAAACCATCACTGAGCAAGCAGTGGAAAATCACGTAAAAAAAGTGAAGTGCTAAACCTAAGCACTCCATTCCATATTTCTCAATGTACTACCATGCAATGTGTTTGAGAATAGCAGCATGGTAGATTAGAAGAAAGGGGTGTGGTTATGAGGGTACAAACAGGATAGAATTTTCAGGTTCTTGTTAGCAGGAAGTTTCAGAAGCAAAGGGGATATAAATTATGAAGATTTCATTAGAAACTGTATAGCATTGTGCCTAGGAAATGCCATGATCCTCTCTTCTCCATTTCGCTTAACCTAGATTAATTTGGAGTTCTGCCAAATAAAAGACCACAGCCTGCTGCTTTCCAGCTTCCCTTTTCTGTTAAGAATACAGTAAATTATCAGAATTTTGTCTACACTTTGAATTGTTCTAGCCCTGTATCTTTTGATACTCCTCTCTTTTCTGCCATTTGCCTCACCTGTGTGATAGCAGCACTCTGGTTGGAGTTGAATACAGATAAGTGAAGGTTTACACTGAACAGAAAACTACAAATGCAACCTGGATGGATCTTTTTTTAAGATGAAAGTCTTAAAAGTGTCATGATAAAGCAGTGGGTTGCAGCAATCTGTATTCTGTGGGAAAATGGGCTTCTTGAGAAAGCTAATTTCTCAAGAGACAGTACCAGGAAAGGAAGCCTAGTGGTATTTACAAAGGTCCCATTTAAGGAGCAAGAGAGCCTTTTTTGAACTAAAAGGCCAAAAGGCATGCCAGAGAGATTGAGGAGGGAAGAAAAGTAGATCTGAGATGAATCAGTGGAAATAAGTTTAACTTATGCTTCAGAAATTCTGAAAAGCATCTATTGCAAGTTGAGTGAAGTCTGGAATATTAAGTTGATTCTGCAGAGCATTTGGATGCCTCTGTTGGACCTGGGGGCAGCTTCTCAGGTAGGAAGCCAAATGCTGGTGAAGTTTTAGCAGCTTTTTTTTTTTCTGTCCTAACCAGAATCCTCTACATTGGGATTTTTCTCCCAACACTGGTGTGTTGGGAGATGGCTGAGGCTGACTGCCTGACTACATTTACACCGTTGTGCTTCAACATGACAGTCAGTACATGATTTGTGTGGTCTGCTCTTGCGTCCCAGCTTCTCATTTTTCATTTGAGAAATGCAATACCACTCGTATTGCCTGCTGGTTTTCCCTTTGACCAGAAGGGAGCTGTATGGCAGCAGCCTTAAGCCATTAATTCTTCAACTACCTTGCTTAGGACAGAACTGCTTTGCAATACTTAATCTGCTTTTGTTCTGTGGTGGAATCATTTACTAGTGATGGTTACTTGGAACTTGCTACCTTTTTGTCATGAGTTGATGAAGTATCTGGAATTTGGTGGTGAGTGGTTTTGTACCTGTAAACTATTTACTTTCAAAATGTGCAATTCTGAGGAAACTGTATTCATATCTTTAAATGGGGAAGCAGAGGTTGAGTCCTATACTTCACTATATATGATCTGTGACTGATGCAGTATGCTTGCCTTACATTAAAAAATACTTAATTGTTAAAAGATTTTTTTTTCATTTTAAATTTGAAAAATAAATTTAGCTTATAAAACAAGCTCTTGTTTCTGCATTTCAGGCTATGGTCAGACCTTGCCTTTGCCAGCACTGGTGATGCAGGGCCTTTAGTGTTTGAACACTGTAACATTACCTGACCAGTTTCAAGTAGCAGTGGTTTTTCACTCTAGGCTGGTCCTGGAGACTGCTGTAAGCAAAAGCTCCAGAAATGTCCAGGACTTCAATTAATGTATTGATGGGGCGGAAGACATGCATATACAGAAAATTGCAAGCTGTGTCCCCTAGTTTTACGTGAATGTTGCAAATTGGACACAAACATAAATGGGCCACAGATGCACCTCTGGCCTGGTGTTTTCATTGCACCTGTGAGCCCTGCAGACATTTCATCCTCCTAGGGGTTGTACACAGCTTTTTCTCATGCTATCACTCAATGGAAAGAATAGGGCCACCCAGAAGTCCAATTCAGAGCTTCTGTCACATGTAAGACCAGCTAGTGACTATTAAATGTGGCCACAGAAGCTCCAGTTTCAGAAGGGACCTTTCCAAGAGTCAGGGCCAGACTTGATTTTTCCAAGCTGACACTTAAATAGGAGCTAATTTACTTAGTGCATTTATTATCCAAATCTGACCTTGTCAATGATAACAATATGCGGTATAAAATCTTGAAGCTTGAACCAAACTAAACCTGTTGCCATACACAATTGCAGCCTCTCCAGGCTGATAAGGGAAGGGAGTTCATTAAAAAAAATTTCAAAAAGTCAATATCCATGTTCCAGTCTGGGTTGTAATATGTATCTTTCAACCTGACTTCTTCCATTTTGCAAGTTGAAAAATACTACATACGGCACTTCAGGTGGTACAGCAACACCATTTATAACTCAAATAATCTTTCCCCATTGAAAAACACCTATACATTAAAAAAATACAGTTGATTTTCTTGAACTTACTGTTACAATTTGAAAAAAGCACAGTAATACTATATACTGCACTTTGAGTGGTATATCAACATAATTTATAAAAGTGAGGTCACCTTCCTTCATTGAAAAAAAATACACATTAAAAATCACAGTTGGTTTTCCTAAACTTATGTTACCTTCTAAAAGCATCATAATTACAACTTTGATACAACAGAGATGAATTCATGTAGAAAATTGCTGAAATGGCATTAGCAGAAAAAGCATGAACTAGTAGGCTTTGTTTCTTATGTTAGTTTGCATGTTCTAATGGACCCTTCCCAGAGTCTCAGGGCTGGATAAACTGGTTCTGTGAACTTGCAGCAGAAGGTGTGTAAATGAGCCATGCCATCGCTAACATTGTAGAATGAAAGGATTCCTGCTTCATAATCTAGAAAAATGCCAATGCAATCAGGATCATCTTCTACCAGGATGGGAATTCTCTCTCCCTTGTGAAATGCCCAGTATTCAAAATCAAATTTCTTAAGGCACCAAGATGCTCTATTCCAGCCCAGTCGACAGGCTTCAGAGTCTCCTTTCCTGCCAATGGTCGGGTAGGCTGCGCCAATCCACCATCCCTGTCCAGCACAACGCAGGTCAACTTCCCAGTAATGGCTCCCAGAAAGGAATGCGTCTCTGCTTAGCACTTGCCATAATTTATCAAATCTCTGGGGACTACAGGGGTAGAGTATTCTCCTCCAGCTGCAGCTTACTTCAAGACGGTCTTCTGACAATTTCAGTCTTGGGTGAATGCTGTCATGTTCCCAGGTTGGTGATCTTGCATCTGCAGTAAAAGCCATAATCAGACTTGCTACATTTCTCATGACCCTTGGAAGAAGTCCAAGTTATAGAACACCTGCAAAGGAGCTCACAGTTGGAAGTGTCTTGGGACAGTCAGAAAGCCTGCAGTCCCAGGAACATGGGCTGGAAAAGGCATGCCAAAGGGGTCAGAGCAGGCCACTAATATTGCTGCCTCCACACCTTTGTGACCTGGGCCAACCATGGTGATGGGGACCTCAGCCACAGCACCAAGGTTTCTTTACATTTTGAGTTAGGGTTCAGCCAGAAAGCCCACAGGTCCAAGGACACTGGCTCTGGAAAAGGCATTCCAGTCAGAGCAAGGCTGGGACCCAACATTGCTGACTGTACATTAGGTAGGGATGGGATTCAGCTAGTCACAGAGCCTCCATCTCCAGGGACACTGGGGCTGGAAAATGTGTGCTAAGTGCATAAAGCAGTGAACCAACGCTGCTGTCCCCACACCTTTCTAATGTAGGGCACCAACGTGATGCGCACCTTTGCCACAGCACTAAGCTGCCATTTGGGCTAAGGTCAGGATTCAGGGAGCCACAGAGCCCACAGCTCCAGAGACACTGCAAAAGGCATGCCAAGGGAATCACAGCAGGGCACCAACACTGGTGCCTCCACACACTTCTAATCTGGATCACTCATGGTGATGGGATAAGGAGAAGCCATACACAGAGAGTTACAGTCCTGTGGTCTGTTCAGCCTGGAGGAAACTAAAGGGCGACCTCACTGTAGTTTACATCTTCCTTGTGAGGGGGAGAGAAGGGGCAGGCACTGATCTCTTCTCTGTGATGACAGTGACAGGACCCGAGGGAATGGCCTTAAAATTCCGTTAAGCAAGGCTTAGGTTAGGAAAGGTTCCCCAGAGGGTGTTTGTGCACTGGAACAGGCTCCCCAGGGGAGTGATCACAGCACGAACCCTGACAGAGCTCAAGAAGCACTTGGACAACGCTCTCAGATATGTGGTCCTGTGCAGGCCCAGGAGTTGGACCCTAGTGATTTTTGTGGGTCCAGCTCAGGAGATTCTAGGACTCTAGCATAATCATACTTACGTTTTAAGAAAAGCAACCGATCAACAGGAGTCATGGTTTTCAGCACTGTTCCAGGCTCCTTCTTTGCAGTGGGATTAAGGCTACTGAAAACATCTGGGCAAAGATGAAAAGGGACAGCTTAGGGAGTCTGCCAGCTTTTCAACAATCATTTTCCAACTTCATGGACAAACTATGTTACTATGTTACTTTTTCTGGGGAGGGGCTACTCATTCTATGCTTTCAGCATTATGCTCTTTGCATAGTATGGAGATGCTGGACTAGTGTTTCCACAGAAATATACAATTGAGCACAACACCAAGTAATCAGACCTGATTCCTTTAAAACTGGCCCTTATCAGATGAAATAGGCAGCTGAAGACAGCTGCAGGTGCTTGCTGCAGTAGCAGTCCTACACACATCCTGCAGTCTTTCAGATCAGATCTGACCATTTGCCCCAGCAACCTGCTACTGTCTTTTCAGTAGCAATTCTCTGATAAGGGCTTAAAAGGCAGCTGGGTGAAATGTGATGGCCATTTCATCACATGTTGCCTGCTCACTCAAAGAGCAGCAGGATTTTCCCATGGTTATTTAGCTTTCTGCCTCCGTGCCCCATTAGGAAAAATTGCTTGCCTTCATTATGCCAAAGGTCATTGAAGGATGAACTAACAGCTCAAAGACAAAAGGATTTCTAAATAGAACATGTTAGTTCAGCTTTACTGTACTAAAAATCATCAATTTTTTTCAGACTGAGGCAGATCACCAGGTACATCAATTAAAAAAATCTTTCAAATTTTAGAGGTACTCCATTGCCAGAGCACTTGCACTCAATTGTAACTGAGAGAATAGATACATTCTATAAGTGTGATGGTCTGCATTAAATTGTATTGAAATACCTGATGGAACTGGGGGGGAAAAAAGCAACAGACAAACCAAAGATCATCTTCAGAGTTGGAAGAGAAATCTCTTAGTTCCTAAATCACCACTATATCACCTAAATCACCTATAACAGCATTACACCCATGCTGACAGAAAGCAGTACCCATGCCTGAAAAATGTTGTTTCTCCAGATGATTTGGTAAAAAGTCCTGTTCTTACTTAAAAAAATACACTTTATTTGCAAAGACAGCAGAAGAAAGCAAAATTCAGAGCACTCTCTCAGGTACCTTCTTTAAGCCGGGCATCCAATGGTTTCTGTAGAATGGACTGCAGAGCTCTGACGAAGTGTTTATAATGGTTAAGTAAGTGTTCAAACGAGAGCGGTATTGGATGCCACTTTTCTAATGGGTGTCTGGATTCCTTAATTTCCTTCTCAATTTCTGTGTACTTCTGAGAGCAGAAAGCCAAACACTACAATTAGCAGAGACTGTGACATGAAAGGACTCTTCCATCCGAGCTCCCATACACCACAGAGCAGGGATAGCTCCAGCATGAGGTAAACCTATGGGCCATCACAGGCAAACTTGCTGAGATCAGCCTGCCTTTTAGCTCATTAGCATGCCCATTAGCATAATGGGCATGCTAATGCCTCCTGCCAGTGGAGCCATCCCAGACATGGAGAACCCAACAGCCACAGTTAAAAGAGATCCCTCCAGGATGGAAATGAGTTTAGCCTAGCCAGGACCCTTTGTGGGAAATCCCATCAATGGCAAAATCAAACTATTAAGTTTTAAAAACAATTTGAAGAATAAAATCCAACTTCCTCACAAGAAAATCCCCATAAAATCACAAAGAGCAGCTCCTGTGTGTAGGTGTGTCGCTAGCATGCACAGCAGAATGCCAGGGCCATATCACAGCAATGGAAACTCCATTCTGACACATTGCAAGGATGCAAAAATGCTCCAGAGGCATCATCCTGTAAGAAATTGCATCTTTTGTCTTGTGTCAGGGCACAAGTACATGGTAACATAATCTTTCCAAGGAAGGTGAAGATCATCATCTGTAGGAAAAGGAACAGCATTGCTTTCTCCAGTGAAGTGAAGGCTTATGGTGATTAGGATTTCTTGCAATGAAGGAAATTACAGATTTTAACTTCCCTCCTGACGTTGCCTGAGGACTGGCTTTTCTCATACCTTCATATCACACAAGGAAAGACTTGATACAGCATTTGTCTTCAAGATTAAGAGACGTGTCTTTTCCATCTATGCTTAAAATTAACATGAATTTCATACAGACCTGAAATCAATGCCACAGCAGGAAGACCTAATAGCTCAAAAATCAGGAACCAAATTTGTTCACCAAAACAGCAACACAAAAAAGCAAATTAAAAAGCACTTAGGAAGATGCTGCTTACATACAGAAGGATCTATAGAAGACATCACTAGAGAAATTCACCAAGGACTGTCAGGGTAAGAGGTAGAAAGAGACCATACAATACCACCTCCAGCAAATTAATAGGATCACTGTCCTGTTGTATTTGTCTGATTCGACGTGTGAAGGTCTCGAGAGCTTCCAACTGTCCTTCACAGGACCTCAAATGCTGATCATGTGTTCCCAGAGCTTGCTGAGTCTTTTCATCAATGAAGATTTTTGCCAGACTCTCTTCATCCCGAAGAAGTAACTGAAGCTCAGTCATTTTTTCTGACAGCTGCCGTTTAATCATATCAGCATGTGCCTATGGATAAAGCAGAAGAATTTCTTCCCCCTGCTCAACAGACCATAAACATTTCAGACATTTCTCTTTCAGGCTTTTAGTGCTATGTTTTGGTTGCATTTTACTGATTTTCTCCATCTCTTCAGAAACATGTCTCTACCCCTTAAGGGAGCACAGATATGATCTACCTGCTGATGTCTGGATGGAAAAGAGTGAGAGAAGATTCCAAGATGCCTATTTATGTCAAAAAATCTGTTTTCAGCTGGAATTAACAGGGTACCATTTGCAACAAGAAACAGATCTTTTTCTTCAGTAGCAAGACTCTGACTGCTTTTAAAGCAAGCCAAAGACAAGTAAGTGGTAGGAAGAGAAAGCCTCCCAAAGAAAGTGGCATCAGGCCAAGTCTCTAAAGCTCCCTCAAGCTCTTACTGACATTTCTGTAACAGAGGTGCCTAGCAATGCTCCTTAGAGCAGAAGTCATTTCATGCTCTATAAATGAGGTGCGGCTTAGCATGCATTCCCATTCTTAAGACAGAATCAACAGAACTGTTCCTGTGTTTACTCAACTCTGAATCCAGAAAATTCAATAATGCAGTTCAGTCCATATCATACAAGTTCAGTGCATATCATACAAGATACATAAGTGTAGCCAGAATAACATATGCAGCTGGGGCTATCTACTATTCCTCTGCATAAAAACTTCACCCTTGGTCTTCCAGAGATGTTCAGCTGATCAAGGAATGAGGATCAGGTCTTTGGAGACTCTCCATCTTCCCTCTCTTTGGTAGTGTAATATATTGTGATGAATACAGGGAATACACTCTTCTCCTGGGAAGTAGAGTAGCCACCCAATAGATGGCTGGGTCTTTGAATAGCTACAGAGAAAACAAAATGTCTCCCCTTGGAAAATGACCATCCAGTGGAGAACGAAACCACACTTTACCTTCACATCATTCACAGCCTGCTCTATGGTCCTTCTGTTGCCATCTTCTTCCTCTTTTCTCTCTTCTAGATTCTTCAAGCACAATGCCATGAGTTCCTATACAACAATGAAACAAAATAAAACGCTGTTTCGTAACACCTGTAAAAACCAGAAACAACTATCCAGCTGATTTTCATATAAGGGGGGGTTACTGAAAGATACTGTTTCAGAATCAGAATATTCTGAATTGGAAGGTGAAACTCTTAAATGAAAGGCCTTTTATGAGGCTATTAAGGCCAGTATAGTGATGAACCATAAGGATTTCCGCATTTCGCCTGGTGGTTATACTGATAAGGTTTGGACAGCTGGGCAAATTAGCACCACCTTCTTAAGGCACAGGGAAACCCAAAGTGAAAAAACATATCCATCTTTAATCTATGGTGCTGCGTATTTCCATTATGTGCTAATGCATTTAGCAGCTGAAGGGCGACTAAGTACTTTTATTTAGAGGATAAGTGGAAGGCTCCACTTATATAAAAATCCAGTGAATGTTTAGGATGCTTCTCAGTGTACAAATGACCAATCAGATACCTCACTGCCACAGTGATGCTGTAGTCTGAACATTTGCAACAGCTAATAGTGTCAGCATGGCTAGTAATCAGTCACAGTATCTGTGGCCCTTCTCAGATTATGGTGTGCCCAGCACAGCATAATCAATGTTCTGCTTATATCTTGCTCCAGTTTCTCACCTGCAGCCCTCTGAAATTGGATGCCCTCTGCCCAGCAGGTTGAACAATCTTGGTATGCCTGCTAACGCATTTTTGTCATTAGTAACAGGAAGGATACAGGCAATGCTGCCCCACAGTGCTGTCAGTGCACTGGTGCTAAAACAGGCCCTCAGTAAACACCAGGTAAGCTAGTGCCACGTGTAGCTGCTGTCGGTGTCCTCTTCTGCAGCTGAGACCCAGTCAGGAACACCTGCATGCACATGTACCAGGTCCCTGCCACAGCCCTAGGGCACCACAGCATTTAAACTCTGCAGCATGGACAAATAGAGCAGGAAGCAACGGTTTGCATTTCTGACATGTCTCCTTAGAAAACACCTGCAGTTTGGCATTTGAGTATGACAGAGTCAGAAGAAAATGGGCTCCCAGCAAAAGCCAGAGACTCTGCATCTGGTAGGCCCTTGGCACAGACACATCCATGCAGGCAGGTAAATGTTCTTGCACAGAGCAAGACACTCATGCTATTTATTCCAGCCACAGTTTTCTAGTCTTGTCCCTGAACAACGAGAAGTGTTCTATACCACTAGAGGATTCAGGAATTCTACCAGGTACCAGCCTTCCTCAGTTTATTTTGCAGCCTTGACCTCATTCCTTACCTCAAAGACTGACAAAGACCACAGCAAAAAACCCAATCGTCCTTCTTGGCAAGGAACACACATCACTTTGTGCACTCACAACAGTGACCATATGGAAATACTTATATTAATCCCAAGCATTTCTGGTTAAGCATTACTTTCTTTACAGAGATACATGGAAGAGCTGCTTCCTACCAATTGAAGACTATGCCAGCAACCCATGTCATTCACCCTGAGGAATCAACTGAAAATCTTCCTTTAGGGATTGCCTGTGTGCTTCAATTCATTCAAATGAAAACACTGTAAAAGCAAGGATTTCTGAGATGACACTCAGAACTCCAGTCAAGCTCACAGGACACATATCAAGTGCAAAGAATGCTGATCCTGTCTGCTGCATTCAGGAGCACAGGGAATATCCTTTTTGATTATTTTAAACAATCTCTGCTCCAAGGACGAAGCAGCTGATGGATCTCTCACAATGGTTTTCATGTCTTCTTAGCACTCACAGCTAGGACCTGCTGAAAGAGCTGTGGAAGATTCTCAGTGCAAGAAGTGCTGCCTGGCTGATGTCACACCACAAGGGCTATACTGAATAACTGCTCACAGCAAACAAAATCACTAGTCAAAATACCATCACTTATGCCAAAACCATTGCTGGTTTGTGCCTAAAATCTCTGCAGCCCTAAGCCAGTAGATGTCAGCAGATACTTCTTAGGGACAGAGGGTCACATGGGAGTACAAGTTTCTACCCCACTCACTTCCTGATTTAGCAGAAACAAGCCTTTATCAACAGCACATGCTTCCTTCTCTCTGTCCATCAGACCCCCAGGGAAGCAGCACAGTTAGTAGATTTGTGCACTTTGCCTCAGATCAGGTTGCCACTGCACAATACGTGCATCACCCACCCACTGCCACCCTGTCGTGAAGGGAACGCAAACACTTTAGAGAGCTCCCACCTGGAAGAGGGACACTTTGGGTGAAAGCACACCAGCAGGCAGGTGCAGTGCTCTGCGTTGCTCAGATGTCTTGAATAGTTTTACCTCTGTGCTGCTGTTTGCACAGCCCTCTTCCCCTGTAATGCTCTGTAACATGAAGTGCAATGGAATGTTCCAAGAGTTTATCATGATGATAAACTGGCTCACAATCTGTGTGAACTTCCAAGCAGGAAGTTCTGTAGGAACTGTTTCTTCCTAGTGTTTTCTGCAGGAAACCTCCTCATAGCACTCCTATATCACAAAAGGAGTGAGAAGAAACTTTCTGAAGTTGTAGAGAAAAAAAAAGGAAAAAAGAAAAAAGGGAAGGGAAGAGGGAAGGGAA